CATTCAGTAGTTAATACATCAACTGAAAAAATGCCCTACAACTTCGGAGAAGAAAAATATAAAAGGATGTGTACCCAGAACAAACCACAAAGAATGACAAAATATAGTTTGAACATTATCACACAAACTCTGGCCTTTCTTATTTGTACCCTGATAACTTTCTTTCCTCAACTGTGCAGTACATAGATGGAACCTGATTAGATTTCTTTCAAGGAACACATTTGGGAGTCTTTCAACTCTATAGCATTGTCAACAGATAAGATTTTTTGGGGGGAGGGGGTTACCCTAGGCTGGGGGGGGGGAAATTATGGCCCTTTTATGACTTGTGGACTTCAACTGACTCAGGAATTCTGAGAGTTGAAGTCCACAAATCATAAAGGGGCCATAATTCCTCAGCTCTGCCCTAGGTCTATCAAATCACTCCTGAGGTAGTAATGAAAAAAAAAAACCTCAAATATCATTTCATACTAAATACAATACTGAATACAATACTGCCAGGGAAATAATTATCTAATAATTATTATACTGGGGTGTGAAGAAAGTATGTCTTTGCAACCTAGCAAAGCAAAAGAAGCATGTGCCATTGGGCAAATGACAACAAATGGGTTATTTATTATTTCACCTCTGCCTTAATTGCAAATTACAAGGATATCCTAAGTAATCCTTTTCCTGATCAGATTCATATTTCATCTATCACCTCCCTAAATGAGCATTTGGAATTCTTTGAACTGATCATGAAAACATTCAGTTTCAAGTCTTGAATGAACCATATCAAGTCTCTTTCAGTCTCTTTTCTCTTCTCTTATTCACAAGGGAAAAAAAGGGGTAGTGAGCATATATACCATGAGGACAAGGGCTTCAGCAGTTATGATACAGATGAATGGATTATAGTTCAACCTTCTATCCCTAGTAGGGATTATGTGACTGGATTAAAAAGCACATCATCCTCAGTAGATAAGTAGATAAGATGGAGGGAATTATTATCCTCTCAAATCCATCACAGTTCTTATTACCTGTAAATCAGAGATTTGGGAACTAGTCACCTGCTGTACATTTCCTCCAAGGGGCTCCCACAAGCATAGCCAAAATATTCAGCAATATCTATAGGGTAATATAGTCCTTGTTCATGTTAATGATGCTTTGATCATCTTTTTCTGCCAGAGATAATGGAGCATGAAGAAGTATTTTTTATGCTTCAGCTTTTCCCAAAATAAAGTCCTCATTTAACTGATAGTACTCTCTCTTCCCCAAATGAGATTTTTTTTTACCATGAAAAAAATAAGACTTAAGATTTGCTGAAACTGAGGCAAAACTGAGCTGAGAATGGATATCACGTTTCTCATTCTTGTTGTAATTCAAGCAAATGGAGTTCTTCCATGTATTTTTTTAAAGAAAGAGCAAACAATAGCTAGGCTTCATTTCTAGTTATATCCATTCCATCATCAATCTTTGAGATCCAACATATTTAATCTATTTCTAAAAAGAGTTGTCATCAATATATTTATGGACAATTGGAATACTGGAGCAGTGAATATTTATGTTTGCTCTCTAGCTCTCTCTGTTTCCATTGAAATGCAACCCTCTGCATGTGTTGGCTTTTAACACCTGGCTGCAATTAATGAACATTTCAAAAGTCTTTAAGTACATTATACATTATGACTAGTAAAATTTGGATTTTAGTTGAATCCCGCAGTTGGGTCTCCTATAGAATTTTCCTCTTGAAAATACAAAGTATCACAGGGTTTGTCACTGAATTTTTCCCAGTATTCATTGCAGTATATGAATGAATTTGCATACATAAAATCTATGTGAATGGTAAGTTTATAGGGACATCAAATGCTTTTTAAAAATCTATAGAATATTCTCATTCTATTTATTGTACTTTTATCCCACTTATTCTTTAATAGGTTCAGGCTAATCTGAATAACTCTTCTTGTCAAGTGTGAAGAGGTTACCTCAGGCAACAAATTCTGATATTATTAAAAGGCAGAATTCATTAATTTGAATCTAGGTGCAGTAAAATCATGGCTTCATACTTATTAGTTTTACTGGTTCTCTTTCCCTCAAAGAGGATCCAAGCTAATTAAAATTAGCTTACTTTCACAATTGGTGAAGAGAGAAAAGTACTTGGAGATTTCTTTCCTCAGTTGACAAAACAAATGGCTTGGCTAAATATATTATGCAACTCAATTGCTATCAATGCAGTGAATTGATTCAGGTACCTTGTTGTAGTTCCTCTTCTAATGATATTTTGGCATTAGGATACAGTGAAATAGTGATGCTCGTAAAATCTCTATGTTGCATTGTTCACCTTAAGAAAAAGTGTTGTTTATTATCATTTATAAGCTTGGAGTTTACTTGCAAAGCAGCCTCCAGTTTTCCTCTTTATTTGAAGTGCCTAGAAATGTATCTCTTCCTCTGAACCACAATATAGTTTTGGACTTTGTTGGGAGAACTGCTTGCCTAATCAAGGTTAGAATGGCATGATATGTTTCAACCTTGTTTATGAATATTTGAAAGTAAATAATTGCTTTTCCAAAACTAACTATTGTTATGACATAGGTGGTCAATGCAAGGCAGGCCTGTAAAGAGTTCTTTATTTCTCTTAAAGTTCCAGCCAATGACCCTTCAACAACAATAAGGCTCCACTCTCATGCTATCTTAAAGGCAGCCACCCTTAGTCCCCCAAATAGCAGCCACTATAGTACCAAGAAAGCAGCCACTATAGTACCAAGAAAATCCATAGAGTAGGAGCACACTCACAGGGCAAGCCCAAGGGTTCCAAGACTAATCCACCAGGAAGCAGGCACAAGACAATGACAGTCCTCAATACAAAGAAAAGATCCAAAACCCCAGTGAAGCAAAAGCCAAATGTAGGCCACAAGAAAAGGGCGTGATCCAAAATAAAACGTGAAGAGCAATTTTTCAAGCAAGGCAAATAGCAACAGGCACAAGTAAAAGCTGGAGAAGTGTAAGGCAAAGCAAACAATTGTTCCTGGCAAAGACTAACTCACCACGGCTTCTCCTTAAGTTACTCCCATCCAGTTGTTCCTTGTGAGGAGGGCTGGGGCAACCTCCTCCTGATTAACCTTGCAGGCCTTCTCTGAGCTTGTCTACGTTCCACTCTCCTTGTCCTTGGATCAGTGAAGCAGGCAACTGTTTCTTGACGGAGGAGCTGTCTGGCTATTAGCTGATCCTCCCTTGTGTCTGTGCAGGTAGGTAGTTCTTCGTCTGGTTGACCACCTCCCCCAGTGGCTAAGGGGCCTGGGACAGCATCCTCCTTAGCCCCTGGTGTCCCTTCCCTGTCGTATGGTCCCAGCTTCAACTCCTCCTCCTCCTCCTCCTCCTCTGAACCAACCTCTGGCCAGGACATCTATTTGCAATATTGGTTTGGTATTTATTGGCTACCGTAACTAGCTCCACAGCTTGGAGAAAATGGAAAATCTATCTGAATACACCTTAAATTCCTGATCTCTCAGCTTCAAAGTTGGATATAAGTTAAACTAAGATTTTCCCCTTTCTCCCCTTATCATTCTACTTTTGATATCCTCTCCAAATTGTCTTGAGTTAAACTTTGGGAGAAGGAAAGAAATGGTGAGCTCCTGAAATGTGAGTCTGTGCTGTTCTCTGTTAGGACAAGGTTATAATATGGTTACTATTGGGTAATAATAATTAGCTGATTTTTTTAAAAAAAACAACACAATGTACATCAGACATGTCAAACTTGCAATATCAAGTGACGTCGCACAACGTATCAGAGCTTTTTCGCCATTTCTGGCACTAGGGTGGGAGCGGCTCCAGTATGATGAAACCGGCCCGCGGGCCAGCAGTTTGACACATCTGATGTACATGAAGATAGAGACCAAGCTATAGTTTAAGTCAGGGGGGTCAAACTGCTGGCCTGTGGGCCTGATGCGTCATGCCGAAACCATGCCCACCTCACCTTCAGCAATAGGGAAAAAGTCACGATACATTGTGACACATCACGTGATGTTGTGAGTTTGATACCCCTGGCTTAAATGATTCCAACTCTTAGGTCTCTAAGAGAACTTTTCATATATAGGCATAAAATTCTTAACCATTAATATTTTCCTTTTAAGCATGAAAAGCCCTTGATATACTTTTTTTGCTTTGAATGTCAAAAGTAAGTCTCATCCTACCTCTACAACAGACTAGTGCTTCTAATAAGAAACAAAATAGGAGGAAAAATAACCCCATGGGCAAGATATAACCTTATATATTGAAAACAGCTATTTTTAGATGGGTCTTGGATCAGAGTCCCAAGACACGAGTGCCAATGTGCCACTCCACAGGTAAGAAATGAGAAATTTTCAGGGCTGTTGAACATTGCACATTTTCACAGTGATCAAGACAAAACTATTTTAGTCCAGGTGTTCATGTAATTATGTTATACTAGAAAGCTCAGTATTGTTCAATGGGCCTCAAACATGAGATGCAGACAGCTGAGCTATATACATATTGCAATGTAATACAGAATAAGATAAAAGTCATCTACCTGAGAGGTTTTTCACTTTTTTGTTTTATTTTGAGATTTGAAAAGATGTGCTAGCTACCTTGAATGACATTGCTTTTTGTACTGATTATAAACTATTATTATTATTTTTTACAAAAGGATTTAAAAAATGTTTAACAGAAGAAAATAGAAATATGTGTTAATGAGAGTTATTCTCAACATTTTGGGTTGTGTGTGGCAATACTGCTGTTATAAATATAGACAATAAAATAGGTTAACAGCCAATAAATTTTTTATGTATGAAAGATTTGTTCTGCTCCAGTTGATGACTTCAAAAAACAGCAGGTTTTCTGCTACGTAGGAAGGATATGATTGAACTCAGTCCAGACAAAATATTGAGAATTGACAGCTGCATGCATGACTGAAATTGCAACAAGTTTCAATTGTTGTTGCAACAAAGGCAACCTTGGAATAAACTTTTTGGACTATTATAGATCAGACTATTAGTTCCACTCACTGTGGGAAATGGACCTCGAGTTAGAGACCCTGATCCATTTCCATTGAAAGATTTTGTTATTAACGGCAAATTGGGGTGCTATACCTTCAAGTGGTGACAGCTGTGAGGATTGTTCTTGCCAAACACTGGAGATATGTATGTATGTATGTATGTACATATCTATGTATGTAAAAGGGGAGGAGAATTTATTGCTTTTTCTTTTCTTTCAGCATTCAGCCAGAGTGGATCCTGCACGTTAAATGTTAAATTAAATTGACCATTTTTTGCTCTTTTTTGTACACTATTTCTTTTCTTTTTTGTTGTTATTAGAGTTGAATGTATGCGTTTGTTTTGTTTCATTTTGTTTGTTTATTTTTACTGTATTACATTTTATATTCTATGATAAAATAATAAATTGTTTTTTTAAAAAGGAAAACAACCAAGCTCAGGGAGCACCAAGGAGTCACAGAGGAAGATCCAAAGTTAAAATAAGGAGAAATTTCTTGATTATAAGTAATGTTTGAAGTTTTGGTTGCTCCATATCTGGATGCTTTCAAGCAAAAGTTGGAAAAGCATTTGTCTGGAATGGTCTGATGATTCCTTCACTGATTAAGGAGTTGGATTAAACCAGGGGTAGGCAACCTTGGCTCTTCTGTGACTCGTGGACTCAGTTCCCAGAATTCCTGAGCCAGCATGGCTGGCTCAGGAATTCTGGGAGTTGAAGTCCATGAGTCATAAAAGAGCCAAGGTTGCCTACCCTTGGGCTAAACCCTGCAAGGTCCCTTTCAACCCAGTGATTCTGTAATTTCATCTCTTATCACCCAGTTATAACTATATCCATTTTCTGCAGTTAGCATTTGCTCTAATCTTCAGCCATCTTTATTTTAGATGTGGGATCACTTGTTTCACCATACTACTTACCCTTTTCCTTTCCTGCACAGTGCCATTCTTTCAATGCTCTGGCTGTGCTGCAAGGAGAAAGATTATTTAAGGTGAAGTAAACTGTAATTTATTCAGCCCAAAGCATTTCGATTAAGGTAAAATTGTTATCTGGGACATTTTCCACCTGCTCTTTCACAAAAGTGGTTTTAGACATCACTTTTATGGTGTTCCTAATGAAGATTTTAAGAGAAATGTGTGGGCTGAATCAATTATAGGAGAATGTTCTTTGCAGAACCTCAGGTTTGACACCATGCTTTTTATACTACACTCTTCCTCGGTTTCATTATAACAGTAAAAAATAATGAAATCAAGGAGAAAAACACTATAGTTAAATAAAGGGGAAAAAAACCATCTTGTGAACCATGTGGTTCTTTTTAGTGCAATAGAACCACATGGTAGAAATGTTCTTTCTAATAGAGCAAATCTTGTTCTCTTGGGATAGTGCAAGATCAACTCAGAATGAAGGTTTTACTTTCTCAGTCAAAACTGCTCTTCTGAGAAAACCCACTTTCATTCTATTGGGACAATCCTGAACAGTGTTGTTGTAATCCCTTTCTATTGAAAGAAAACAACACACAAACACACACAGAGAAGCTTGGTTTTTGTTATTTTATGTATCAGGTATAGAGACAATGTATCCATAAAACAACAGCTTATCCCTTTACTTCTTTAGGAAAAATTCCTCCTGATCTTTGTAGAACTTTCTGCTGGAGAGACAAATATATTGTTTAGTGTATTCACAGGAACAGGTTTAATTTATAATGCTCCCGTTTTCCTGTTTAGTGGTAGCATCAGGTAGCACTATCGTTTCAGATGTGTTTCCACAATTACAAGAGTTTATTAATTGAAACCATATATTACTTTAATATGTATCTAACTGAAAAAAAATAAAACCTGTGTGCATTTTTAAACATATGCTTGGACTGTATGCTTAATTAAACATCTACTAACTGGGGGAAAGAGGGGAGAATATTTCAATCAAGGTAAATCTGATTTATGTTAGTATCACATCTTATTCAACACCATCAATGCTATTAAAATTTTTACTGTTGTTTAAGACCAGTGCTTTCAACATGTCCTAGATCCTGAATGGCATTCATGATAGAACTGCCTGCTGGTTTCAAGAATTAAAAAAAGAGAGAGAGAATCATTTGCAAAATATATTTAGTTGGGAATAGCTGTTCAGAGGTTTGAATGGACATGCATTGAAGGATTACACTATTTATAGACCAGTGTGCTTGAACATAACTGGAAATTCGCTGAGAATAGATTACCTTATTTTGAAGTGGTTTCTATCTACATATTTTTCCATCTATAAAACACACCCTTGTATAAGACGCTCTGGCATGTGAGTTTCTCCATGCTGATCAGCTGTTTGGTGGAGTGCCAAACAGCTGAGCTGGCAAACCTGGAGGTTCCGCCAGCTGACAATCTTTCCCCCTCTCCCATTAGTGGCAAGCCCACAGGGGCTTGACACCTGCATCAGGTGGCATGGCAACCCACATAGGCATGCCCTGGGCTGCAGAGGTTACCATTATTTTTCCGTGTATAAGACGCTGCACTTGTATAAGATGCACCTGATTTTTGAATAGGGTGTTTGCAGGAAAAAATAGCATCTTATACAAAGAAAAATACGGTATCTATTTGATCCATATCTGTCTGTCTGTCTGTCCGTCCGTCAAATTCATCCATCCATCCATTTACTGTACATTTTCTCTGAGAACTCAATGCCACACAAACGAGACTTAATTTAATTTTCAAAATAGCAACTTTCTCATGTAGATTGGACTGAAGGAAAAAAAATGGTGAATCAGTCTGATTTCAACCAGTAAACTACACTGTGTCTTAGACATTCTTTTAAACAGAAAATCATTTTTTATTAGAAAATCAGTGGTAAGTTAGAACATTGATTTTTTTCCTCCATTAGTATAATGTTAGTATCAGATACACTGTTGATTATAAAGCATTCTGCTGAAATTATGAACAGCTGAGATTTTGGTTAATGTCCACTTATAAAAACTAAAGGTAGAATTAATAGTCATTTAGATTCTCCTCACTGAAGAGACAGTCCAATTTTCTGTCACTGTTGCAATGTACTGTGCTGCTTGTCATTTGTATTTGTTCTGGTCTAAATTCGCTTTTATAGCCCATAAAATGTTCATAACTGAGTAAAGATTCCACCTTTGAGAACTATTAATACTTTAATAGTATAGTTCAGTTTCCCTGTCTTTTTAGATAACTATTTGGTTTATTTTGGTTCTACTTGGCCATTATTTGATTACTGCATCTCAGTGGTATATTAATTCAAAAGTTGAGTAAGTAGAATCTTTCCTATATTTGACAGCATTTTGTATAAACATAATTGCCTTATGAATTGCTATAGAGTTCCTCTCAATAAGAAATTAACTGACAATGTGGAAATTGGATCTAAATTGCATCAAATAATACTTTCTAAATCAGAAAGTTCTTACCAAAAGCAACTGATTTCATTTAAAGATAATCTAGGATTGGCTTTAAAATTACACCCAAACTATTAAAAAAATGGAGAGTCTCCGTGATGAATATTGTCATTGTGTCAAGATATTGTTTTGGCTTTCCCTCTTCTTTTTTTAAAACTGGCTTCTGAGATGTCTTGATACATTTGTGAGTAATGGCAGTCAACAGAATAAGATGGAACATTTTTCAATGAATTCTGAGTGAAAAATGATGAGGAAACCAATGGGGGAAAAGTTTGCTAGTGTGGTTTTTTCTATTCAATCAGGAAGCATAACTCTTTCCTTGTTGTATTTGAACAAAAATGTAATTTTAGTATCTTAGCTAAACCACAGGGGGTGGTTTCACATATTGCCCTCATCTTCAACAAAAGTGTTTTTCCAGATTTAAAAAAGCTGTATGATATAAATGGTTTTAAGAGAAAGTTTTAATTTGCTCTTTTCATCAAACCTTTAATCCAAAATCTGTATGCTGCCCCTGAGAAATTATATGTGATACATATGTCAAGTTATTAAAGCTTAATACTTTATTAAATATTGCATATACCTTGCTTTTCTTTCTTCATGTTATCTCTTATCTCTGTAACAGTTCCATAATAGTAACTATGGTTTCCTGTTCTCAGTTCAACAATTTACACTAGATTGCAATGCTTTCAATGTATATTTCCTGGCTATGCATTAGTAGACCTTCTCCCATTATTGAGCCATGCCCTTCTCACTCAAAATTATCTCATAAAGTCCTATCAAAGATCATTCATACATGTGAACAATGCTTTTTTCCCCAGAGTCATATGCTTTGTTGCATCAGCTTGGCAACCTTACTTCTGTGTCCACTGGATTCAATTGCTGGTCAGTTAAGTGCTAAACTTGCTTATATGATCCTGTAAGCAATAAATACAGGTGTGATACAGCTCTCTATAACTAGTAGAAGATATCCAGGCTAGTCTGACAATAGACTCCAAACAATGGAAAGTTATGTGTGCTATTGGCCTACATTTTATGAAAGGACTACTCTAAATGAACAAAAGACTTCATAACAATGGAGATTTTATTAGAAAATGAGACGCTTGATTGTTGTTATTTTTTAAAGCCTGTTATGTGGAATTGGATTTTCCTTTAAGTCTCTCTTGTTTTTAAGGGGAGACACAAAAGCAGGTTTGACTTTACTTCACAGGTGAATGAGCCAAGCTTAAATGTCATTCAGCTCTGGTTAGAATACATGACATTGACAGATGAAAGTGAAAATTGCCATTTCAAGTTGACCCTTTCCTGATAAAACATGGCTGCTTTGAGCACAAGTGAAATAACAAGCCAAATTAGTCATCATTAGAGTTTGCAAACTCTGGGAAGCTAAACTCTCAGATCCTGAGCTATTTTAATTTGCTCATATTTAAAAAAATAGTTAAGGTAAGATGAATTCTCTGTTATATAACCCAGTGCTTTTTTTTCTGATAAGGTTGTGGCAGTAATTTGAAATCTTAGTTTGATACATACATTAAAAATATATACTGCTGAAATTCCTTCCTTCCTTCCTTCCTTCCTTCCTTCCTTCCTTCCTTCCTTCCTTCCTTCCTTCCTTCCTTCCTTCCTTCCTTCCTTCCTTCCTTCCCCATTTTAAAATTCATAAACTTAGAAAATTAATATTTTCTAAGCCTATAGAAAATTCATAAATTGTCCCCATATTCTCTAGTGAGGCTTCTGTAGTATTTGAGAGTTTTTGATGCTGACAAGCAATAAACGTCATTGGCATAGTCAAAGATGAATCAGCCACAACAAAAGAAATTGGTTTCAGTCTGTGCATGACAAATCTCTCTCTCTCTCCCCCCTCTCTCTCTGAATCAAATCTTCCTTCACTAATTTGAGTAATATTTGTTCTGCAGATGTGACTTGCAGCCATAGACTCTATTAACGATTGTTGTTGCACTAGATCTATTTAGTAAAGCTATTTGCTATTTCATAGTGGTATTTAAATATATATATATGGATCTTTACTATGTTTCACAATGGATGGTCTCTGATTATAAAAAAGAAAAGAAGAATTTTGTGATCAACTTTGTTTTATTAGAGATCAAATATTAACACCCCCCAAAAAATTAGATCCAGGAATTTGTTTAGTATGAAAGTGGGTAGCCAAAATGTTTTATTTTGATCAGCATAATTTAGAAAGTGGTAAATACAATTTTGTTGCCCCTTTTATTAAGTATCTGGAATCAGAACCTAGTAATGAAAAGCAACGTATTTGTGTACAAAACATATAGATGGATTCATTACACTTAAATACGATGAATCCATCTACCTGTCTACCAGTTTTACATGTAAAGGTCTATTCTCCACAGTGATTTCTTTAAAAAAAGAAATTTATCAATTGGCATTTATTTTTGTACCATGCTTTAAAAAATATGCACATTAAAATATACAGTAGAGAATCTGATTTTGAAAATCTCAAAGTGAAGAAGAAAAAAATTGTATGTAACTTTGCAAGATCCAATCTGGGTCAGTAACTGGGACCAGAGGAAGAGTAAAAATCTGGTCCCAATGACTGTCCCAGATTGGATCTTACATTATCCTGGGACATGTATATTTGCTTTCATTTGGGTATGTTACTTTCCCTAATAAGCATAGTTTAATACATTTCTACTTTGCCACAATTAGCAAGCTGCTTATGTACAGTAGAATATAAAAGAATAATTTGAAATGTCCAAGATAGCGTGTAAGACAATAAGGACTTCACAAATGACAACAATAAAAGCAACCAATCAAAAATGAAAAACTAAAAACAATAAAACTGAAAAATAAACATGATATCAGAGAAAGCCCTGTGAAAGAACACCCTCAACGGTTTCCAAAATGTCCGCAAAAGGAAGCTAGCTTAATCTCCAATATTTTTGTTGGCTCTGGACCATTGAAAATCAATGCCTTTTCATCTCATCCCTCTGTACCTCTTGAAAATGTGAGATTTCTCCCTAGTCTCTCCCTAGTTGTCCTATAATAATTGGCCAGACTGAAGTAGCTGGTTCTGCAGATATCAAAGTGCCAAGCCGTGAAAGGCTTTATAAATCAAAACTAAAACCTGGAAAACTACCGTACTGCAATCAGTTCAGTATTATAAGCTCCCAATGCCAGGAAACAGACAGTATGAGGGCTGTTTATATCCATATTTGAAGAACATGATTTGATGATATAGTAACATTTCAGAGGCTCTGTTTGGGAAAAAAAATGACTTCTATAACTAAGAGTTATTATATATTAATATATATTTAGCAGCTACTATTCTTGAAATTCTGAGAACCATGATAAGGTTTCTAATAAAGATTTCTCCCAGCTCACATTTGCATATTAATATTATATGCAAAACAATGCAAAATCACAGTGCTAGATCTTTGGCTAGTGTTGGCCTCCTTACACATCAAGCTCTTCCTAAAAATATATTGGTGTAGTATATATGTGTGGATGCAAACAGTAAGTGCAACAGTTGTTAAGCTTCTCCACTGATTTTGCTTGTCAGAAACCAGATGGGAAGGTTGCAGATGGTGTGGCCATGGAATGCTGTAACTGACATAAATACATACTGGATGACCATCACCCAAAGTCTGATCACGTGACTCTGGGGATGCTGTGATGATCGTAAGTATAAGGACCAGTCAAAGTCATGACTTTGAACAGTTGCTAAGTCAAGGACTTACCTGTATTATTTGTTTACTTTGCCTCCATGAATTTGCAGTGAAGACCTGAATGAGTACCAATTCTAAATATACACAAAATTAAATGAATTCTTCCTTCTTTGGTCTGTTTAAAATTATGTTCTTTATTTTACTTTCAAAAAACCCCTTCATTTGCATTTGAATTGGTTCATTTGTTTTAATTTTGTTTTCTTTTGTTTGGCTTTCTAGTGTTTTTCCAGATATCATTATTTTCAATAGGAGGCCACAAGGTATACTTCCCTCTACATCCTTGAGATCTTATATCCAGATGCAATTAAATTTGAAGTAATTAGGCTACTCCCTAACAACACTATATCTGTCAATTTTAGATAAATTGAAGAAAGGATGCCCATTTTAAAGACAATTAAACAGTGAAAGACATCCAGGAAGCTTTACATTACTACAATGGAAACAGTTCTGTCTTCTTTTGTCTATAGCTTTGAGACTTCATATCTGGATGGTGTTACATTGTAGGTATTATAATACAATTGAAAATAGTGATATATTCCTGTTATCCAGAATATTAGGCATAGGGTTCCAGTCTGAGAAATAATTTAAACAAAATATTGACATAACATTAAGAACAAGGCATGCTGCTTGCTATTACTTCTGCTACTTAGATTTGCGCAGAAAGTTAGGGGTATATATATTAGGTCTCTAAAAGTTCTGAGACACTGCTTTAGTTTGATAAATGATTATGTGAAGCACTCTTCACAAGTTGTTTGCAACAAGCCCCCCCCCCATTTTTAAAATTAAAGCAAAACAGTGGAACTATCACTCTGGTGACCTCCTCTGGTTCTCAGGACACAAGTCTTCTCAGCTATGAAGCACTGCATCCAGGCAAAGCATGGCCACCTCAAATATCTGTAGAGTGGAACATTCAATCAAGTGGTGTTCATCATCTGCAATTTCTCCAAATACTTAAAATTGTGAAAAGGCCTTCTCTTACAAATGAAATTCCATTTGAGTTTACTGATAAGCTTTTTCCTCCCACTTTTTACATAGTCCACTTTTCCAGTTCTTTGCAGGATATTGAAAATTGTGTATCTAAACAAATCCATGAATGGAGAATGATGGCTACTAACTTGGCTGGCAGATCTCACCAATTCAGGTCCAGATAAATTGCATTATGTTTACTTCTTTGATTTAGCATCACTACTTAATCAAAAGTTCTACACCTGGAGTTCTACACCTCTGCATAGATATCATGTGTGAGATTTCAAAGTCAATAGGCATGTCAAAGCCAAAGAAAGACTGTTTTACATTCCTCTCAAATATTTCATGTTGCACCAAAGGTTCAGTGTATTAGCTAGTGTGCCTATTATAATTTGAAACATTTTTTTTGAACTCTGATGGACCTGTGTTGCAAAAGAACCTAAACCATGAGTGTTTCAGTATATCATACTATAACACAATATGTTGAATTAAATATGTGTAAATGACCAGGCGTAATTTCAGTAGGCATAACACAATGATTAAAACTTCCATTAAACATATGGATTAAGATTAATGTTATTAAAATGAATATTCATTGAGATTAATGTAAATTTGAAAATAACAGGGGAAATAGTTTACTGGAACATTTAGGCCAAATAAGGCATCAGTTACTGTCTAATGGTTGTTTTAAAGAGAGTGTTTTTTTAATGACTTACCTGACTTTCCACTTGGCAATATAATACAACTGAAACATGTTGCAATCAAATATCATGATTCTGAATGTTTTAAAATACTTGTAAATTTAGGATCAGTAAGAGATACAGTGCTTGAACAGAAACAAATCATCCAATTTTATAAAGAATTAACAACAAAAAAATCTTGTTAGTTAGATAGGACTATATTTATAGCCATATATAAAGGAATTGAGCTATCAAATTTTGGAGAATTATTTGGCCAGTTATTAAGAAATCTAAAATATATCGATGATTGAAAATTTAAAAATTACATTAATTCATTGGAAATTAAAAATTCTTTTAAAAGTGGTTGAACTTTGTATCTTATATGGTTTTAGTAGTATTGTAAGATATTTAAAACTCACATTAGCAAGGTTTTAAAACTCATATTATCTAGCCTTTTTTCAGCTAGTTAAAGATTTTAATGTGATATTGAGCTATATTCCTAAAGCATAGAATTTATTGCCCAAGAAGAATTTTGTATTGAGCTTGGGGCATAGTAAGGAAGATAATTTTGCATAAATGGAAAAGCAACTTATTCTCCTTATTTTGAAGAATGGATTAAAGATATGTGTTACTTATTTTTGAAAAATATTTGTGTTCTAAAAATGAGAAAGCTAAAATGACTGATTAAAGAGAATGACTAAAAAGGAGAGCTTAATTAAAATTTAAAATTAAAAGTAAATTTTAATCAATACCTATGGATGTTGTATTACCTAGATCTATTTTTCCTCTTCCTTTTTTGTGTTAATCAGGCTTCTCGCCCTTTTTGTCACATTTAATTTATTGTAATATATCTAAATTTTTTTTCCTTCCCTGAATAGCAAACTTTTGTATTTTTTTCTGGTTGATATTGTGGTTTTCAATATTTGTATAAGGATGATGGTGATGTTACATTTTAGGAAATGCAGCATTCCCTTTGGGAATCAAACCTGATAAATTTCAAATTGATGGTATATTAAAAATTACTGTATACATAGAGGGAAATATTTCTATTTTCTCCCTATAAGATATTAACTCATCTTCAGTTGTAGCATATTTGACAGAAAATGAGTGGGGGGAAATTCTGGAGAGATATGGGTTATGTGAAAAAATATTAATTAGGTAATGAAAGGACGTACAAACTGAACATTTTTTTCTTGATGCCCTTGAAGCCTTGACTATTTTAGAATCTTAGAAGTTATAGGCTTTATCAGGCTCTGACTTTCAATGTCATGGATGATGGCCACCCATCCCTTTCTTTCCTTGACATTTCTCTGGAGCAAAGCTGGAGTTCTGTTTAATCAGGTTCTGATTGTTTAGATAGTTTCAGTCTTTGCTGCCAAGAAAACCCTAACCCTAACCTTAAAGAAAAAGGTCAGCAGGGATGGCTTGAGTTTTCTTACTCAACTTTAGACTAAATACACAATGAAGGCCATTGTTTCAAGTTTCCCTTACACCAATTACTGCTACACTCTTTTTAATTTAAGGGGAAGTCTCTTGCCTCCTGCAAGCAGATTAAGAACATACGCAGCAGGTTATTATGACTTTTGCTAAAGACAGTAGTTTCTGAGAAGAAATTGTGGTGGGTTGGATCACCTCACGTTTACCTCTTAGCAATTTTTGAACACTTGCAAAAACCTGCAGAGGCTGCTGTAGAACAACGAGGAAGCAGAAGAGAGCAAAGTAATATTGTCACTTGTCTTTACCTTTAGAAATATGGGATCCAAAGTACTTTGCAAAATAGATTTGAAAGAATGCTTTTCTCATACTCTCATTGAAGAAAAGTGTGGCTTCAAAGCCCTTCATAGCTCTGTTTTTCAAATACTGAATCAAAACATTGACTTCAGGCTGTTTGAGTTTGACCTCATAGTAGGAAGTGTGGTATTGAGAGAGAGGTCCTTTTCCTTGCTGAATCCCATATTGTGAAATATTACCTCTAGAGATGGCCGGCTGTTCATTTAGTTTAGTATTTTTAATATGTATTTAATTTAAATTCTTAATATGACACTATTATTATTTAGGCTTTCACCTGGAAAGATTTATATCTCTTTATTTTTACCAATCTGAGATCAGATCAAATCAAATCTTTATTATGGTCATAGGCCAGCATAACCCAACAAGAAATTATTATAGTCTTTTTATAATTTTTATCAGTATTTATTTTATTAGATTATATATTTCACTATATCATTTTATATTTGAGTTTTTAGTTTCTGAAGATTACTTTGCTGGATTTTGATTAATTATTTTTCTCTACTTTATAATGATACATGGAGTACAGAAGATCGGAAGAATCAGATTTCCTTATAAAATCTCAGAATCAAAGAATCATAGAGATGAAACATGATATTTAAGACACTGATTCCCTTAATTAGTGCAAAAATGCAAATTAAAGTATTCCACTCTGTTTAACTGGAATGCCTCCAACCTTCTGAGTAATTACTGCTAGTGTTGAATTGCTTTTACTGTTAGGAATTCTCTCTATATTATAATATTCAGAATCTTCCTTCCTGTTCCTTAAATCTTAAAGTGTTCATTAATATTTTCTCCTTATAAAGAATCAGTTAAGCCAATTGGTTTAATTGATTATTAATTTATTATTTATAATAAAACAATTTTAAATTATTATAGAAGAACATTTGATGATCATGTGCTTAGCACTACAAACCTAAGTTTACATACAAATTAGATACTTTCATGTAAATAAACCTATACTTCCTGAAACTTCTATACTGAGTCATCTCTAGCTCCAAAATGAAGAAGAGAAATTCTTTTTCACAAACATCACAATTTTTATATTATAATATATTTTACAAAGATTAATATTTTCTCCTGGCCAAGATCTTCTGAACAGAGGAACAAGAAAGACTTTCAGCTATGTAACTTCCATTTAAATATTTGAAAAGGGGTATCATATGACCCATCAGTTCTCTTTTCTCAGGTCAACATCAACACATTCACATGGAGACAGAGAGAGGGGGGGGAGAGAGAGAGGGAGAGAGAAGGGGGAGGAAGGGAGAGAGAGAGAGAGAGGGAGAAAGAGAGAGAGAACTGTTATAAAGAGGGTTGGATTTCCAGCATCCCCCTCATTTAGAAAATATTAGCTGACACCGGATCCATTTGCGTCATATTTATTCTGGATAAGAATTGTTCCCCAAAGTTAATTATACCCAAAAAATTAGTAAAGGAAAGGAATTCTCATCAAGCTTTAAATAAATAGTGCCCATAGAACCATTTCACATTCTTGTGTATGTGTGTGTCTATGTGATGG